CTGTGTGTGTGTGTGTGTGTGTGTGGGGGTCAGCAGAGGGCACCCCGGGCCCACCATACTCAGCTCCAGCTGGGGGTTAGCGCTGAGGGTGCTGCCTCCGGAGCACCCCGAAGGTGCCCTGGGTATCCCCGGGAGCCGGCAAGGTTAGGCACAGGGTGGGCAAGAAAGACACGGTGTAAAATACCTCTGCTTTAGTGGTTTTGGGCTTTGAAAAGGCCAAGTGAAGGCAGCTGAGGTTAGAGACCAGTCAAGGCAGCAGTAGCCGGGCAGATATTACCCAATAGTGCTGGCTCGCACAGGAAAACAGTGAGTCACTTTTCATTACTACCCATTACGTAAACTTTCTAATAAAACTAAATCATTAGCAGATCTTAACACTCACAGCCTTCTTCCTTCAGCTTGAGAGAGGCGAGCTCGAGCAGGGGCAGCCGAGCACTTTGCAAAGCAGCAGCTCTTCTTCCTACTCGTGTTGCTTTACCCTGAAGCCGCAAACTCTGTGTTTGTACTTAACGCATGCTGGATTGTAGGAACTTAACACCCAAATTATGCCACAGGTACAGATTAACTTTGCAAAGCCTGATTTCCACCACGTCCCAGGCAGACTTGGTGCTGAGGCCTCTCTGCTGCTCAGCTTGCAAAATATTTCCGGCAAGGCTCTGCTTCTCTCCCAGGCTTGCCCCAGCTGCACCCTTCCCTGTATGCCCCAAACAGGAATCAGGAGCTTCTCCTTACAGGAATAGCATCCCCTGGAGCTTTCTGTCAACCCAAACCAAAGTGTCCACCGGTCATCCCACCCCTCCACTGTAACTAACCCTAGGACTGAAGGGCCAAGTGGAGGTTTTTGGCTCATTTCCCAATTCCCTTGAATCCCGCAGGGCCCCGTGACCATGGAGGAGAGCACGCAGGGCATCTTGAATGTGCTCGCCACGCTGTCAGCCGCCAGCAACGGGACCTTCTTGGACTGGAAAGGGCAGAGCCTTCCCTGGTGAGGAGCAGCGCCAGCGCTTTAGTGGCGATCCTCCTTGGCTGTGGTGTGCTAGTAGCTTCCACTCAAGCTCTGTAAACCTGATTAAAGGCCTTTTCTAGCCTCTCTTGTTCTGTGGTGTGAGAAAGCTCTGCCTTCACCCCAGATAGCCACCAGGGCTGTAAAGAAGTCGGAGCATCCCGGCACTGTTGATCGCAAGGTGCAAACAGCCGTGGCTGTCCCGGCTATTTTCTGCACCAGGCCAAATCAGCGACCCTATCTTTTAGCTTCTTTTTGGAGGTGGCAGCTGAGAGATGAAAACGAGCTGGGAAAGTTTGTAGCCCCACTCTGTTTTTTTAGCAGACTGTCCCCCAAACCAGTCCCGTGTGCATCTGGGAAATCCCACTTCCTGGCCACCCCTTCGCTCCGTGGTGCGACCACGCTGAACCCAGCTCCCCCGAAAGCAGAAAGCCTTCTAATGTCCCTCTCGTTTTACTGATGATGCAGATTTTTTTTTTTTCTTCTTCTCTGCTAATTCAAAGCAGGGAAGAGGAGCAGAGGGTTTCGTGCTGGGGATCAGATTATAGCCAGGCCTCAGCACCTTCTCCTGGGCAGGTCCTCCCTGCCTGTGGCACTTCTCAAGATAGAGCAGAGGATGTTGCAGATGGGCAGTTATAACTCCCTGCCTTGCGGGGGAAAAAAACAATCTGTGTGTTTCCATAGCTGCTTTGGACTCTGGGTGGAGCAGAAAGTTGACATTTTGCAACCTTCCCTAGAAAGAGGGGCCAGAAGATGTCGCAACATCTCAAGTGGGCACTTGTGTTTGAGCTGGAGCATTTTGGCAGGCCTTGAAGCAAACTGTCTGGTCCCGCGGCGCGCTGGGAAGCCTGGCCGGGGGCATCACGCTGGGGCATTTTCCTTTTTCCCCACGGTGGCACACGATGACCCGATGACACGATGGCAGGCGGAGGGAGCACCCAGGCCGCTGGCGACGGTCGGAGTGGCAGCTCGGGCTCCCCGGAGATGTGGGGGGCCGCAGGAAGTGGCATTTAAGGCCGCGTGGATTTAATCCAAGCTCCCAATCTGGGGGGTTGGCCAGGCTGGAGCGCCTCCAGCTCCTGGCCTCCATCCTCAGCCCCCTGTGCCTCCCGGCTCCCCCGCAGCCCCTTGGGCAATGAACAGGCAATGCTCGGGTCGCCAAAGCAATTAGTTTGCATTTTCGTTTCCCCGTGGCGAGGTCTGTTTTAGTCTCGTCCTATCTCTCTGCTGCCTCAGGACAGCTGACTCTGCCCGTGGCTGGCTCCGCCCCGCCGGGCGGCTCCTGGCAACCGCGCGGGGGGGTTATGGAGGAAGCGGCCCCGAGCAATGCCGGTGCTGGCATCCAGGCTGCCGCTGGAGCAGGCGGCATCGCAGCGCTCCTGCCAGGAGCCAGGCCCAAGGGGTTAGTGCACCCCAGGCTGGTCCCCAGGGTGCCAGGCGGTGCACCACGGCACCTTCACAGCCCTGCAGCCTGAGGTGCCCGGGGGAGATGCCAGGGATCAGTGCGCAGCCACCCCCGCCACGAGCTGTCCATCTCCGGCTGGGCAGGGGCCGCAGAGTGGCTCTGCATCCAACATCCTCCTCCCCCAGCCCCAAAGTAAAATACTCCAGGTGTTCAAACCCGGAGCTGGGCGGCTGTGAAGGCGAAGGCACTACGGGAGCGTCCTATTTGGGGCATTGGACATAGCCCTGCACTGGGATCCCCCAGGAAGGACTTCGGAAAAGCAAGTATAGCTGGACGAGGCCATTACTTAATGAAGCTTCACCTGCACACCGGCAGAAGATCGTTAAGGGTAAGCAGCCTGGAGCAAGGACTACACCAGTTAAGGTATATAATAGCTGATTAAGCTAATTCAATCACCTCAGAGGGGGAAGTCAGCACGGTGAGTGTCTGCCAGCCCCTTCTCCCCTCCAGCGTGCCTCTGAGCTCACGCAGCCAAACACAACAAACCAAACCCAGATGTTTTCTTACAGAGGAAAAAGCAAGAACGGGGCTGCTGGGGTAGAGGCAAGGAGGAAGCTCAGCGGCTCGGCCCTTTGTCCAGACAGGACGGGATGGGACAGGAGGAAGAGGAGGCTGGGCTGCCACTGTCGCCCGCACAGCTCTGCCACGACGTGCTGGAGGCACTGCTAAAGGAGAGAGCCGAGCCAAGGCGCCAGCCCAGCCTCGGCCCCGGTGGCCCCATTGCTGTCACCAAGGCCGCAGGGAATCAGTTTGCTGCAGCAGACACATGCTAAGGGGAGCTATTTTCCTGCCTCCGCCAGTTAGACCTGGAACAAGACGTCACCAGAGCAAGTGCTCTGAATGTTTCCCCCATGAAAAGCCGAGGGAGGAAAATGACTCCCAAAATTAAGAGGCAGCCAAGGCAGCTGGGCTTCTGTCTGCTTGTCTTTTATTTCAGTTAAGGTTTGAGCTTTTAGGTGACCCAGTCTGAAGCTTATCTGCAACAATGAGCGCTAGAAAATTATTCATTTTTTAATGAAAGCTGAGGAAAAATACAAAACAACAGGAAACTGGTGATAAAAATCACACCCACTGCAAACAGGACAAGGCGGCATCTCTCAACTTGGCTGGGGACCCCCTTCCCACAGGATGTGGGTCTGGGTCCCCGCTTCCAGCCTGCACCCATGCAGAAGGACCGCAAGGTGCTTGCAGGGCTGCTGGGTGTTTCAGATCAAGCCCAGCCAGCACCGGACGCTGCTCAGACAGCAGCTGGGCATTGTGTCACAGCCTCCCTGGCCATGCACAGTCCCAGGGTCCCGCATAGGGTGGCCTTTCCCAGGGTGGCAGGGTGCCCCTCTGCACCTCCATTTGAGGGCAGGGTGAGGCAGCTGAGCTGGACGAGGAACTGGTGACCATGGTCCCCAGCACCCTCCAGGGACCAGGGTACTATGGCTCCCTGCCGTGGCACAGCAGCTCCCTCCCTGCAACAACCATGGGCGCAGGCGGAGGGCAGGCCTGCAGCCCCACGGCTGGGTCAGGCGTCCCGCATGCCCCCAGGACAGCCAGGGAGAGGGGTACCCAAAATGTCCTCTTTGGATAGCCACATCCCCGCTAGGCAGGAGAGGAGAGGCAGCTTCTTCATGCCTAGCAAAAGCAAAAGGCATTGAGCCCGTCGTGTGGCACCAGTGGGAGATGTTTTCTTTGCAGCTCCCCTTCATCCTTCGCTGCAGCCTCTCCTCTTCACTGGAGGCCAAGCAGGGTCCCCGGGGCAGCGCAGGGAAGCAGGAGGGAGGCGCTCGCTGCAGCGGGCTGGCGAGGCACCAGGGGAGGCACCGAGCTGTGCGGAGGGCAAAGGCGGGCAACGGCGAGCTTGCTGCCCTCCACGGCATTAGGTGGAGTCCCAGCGACCTGGGCAGAGGGGAGCACCTGTCACTGCGCACGAAAGGACACCAGCCCTGGGACCCCCACCCTCCCAAGCGTGGCCACCAGGACCCGCTTCGAGGCTCCTCCTGCCCTCGGAGCATCCCTGGCCCCAGCTCCCCGGTCCCACTTACTGGGCCTGCCATACAGCATCCTCATGACCTTGAGGCAGTTGTCCAGCAGGGCCTTGGGGCGCACAGCCTTCCTCCGGCTATCCGCACTGGCACTGTGGACCTGCTTCACCAGGTCGGCCACCACCACGTCCACATCCGTCTGCAGGGACAGGACACAGCTGACATCAGGGGGCAGCTCTGCAGCTGGGCGCCCCAGCCACCAAGGGCCCCCGCCAGGTCCAAGGGCACCTGCCACCATGCCCATGTCTCTGGTGGCTCCCGTGCAGGCGCCGTGGACAAACAGAACCTGCATATGCAAGTCACCACAGTGTCCATCCACATGATGAAACCCCTATCTGAACAGGATGGGGTCCCCGGCTCCCTCCCATCAGCACCTTGTCCCCCTACCAGTACAGCTCCCTGCCGCTGAGCCAGGACCACTCACTGCCACCAAACCAGGGATGCTCCCTGCCACCCAGCCCTGCCACAGCCCAGCAGGAGCCATGTTGGCTGACAGAGGGGCACTGAGGGACAGCTCTGGCTCTGCCTGGCTGTTGATGCCACGCTGTGAGCCCTGTGTGCCCACAGAGGAGTTGCAGGGGTAGGCAGAAGGAGGGGGGAGCAAAACCAGGATGCCCGGGACAGATTCTGCTTGGGAGCAGGGTGAGCATCCTTGGGTTGACCCTGGTCACCCCTGTTGGCCCCAAATGCAAGAGGTGGCGCAGGAAGGCACCAGTGCTCCGGTCCATGTTATGGGGGCCTGCAGTGCTCCATGAGCTTCTCCGCAGAAAAAGTGGCAAAAACTCCAGCTCTGCATTGGCCGGGAATCGAACCCGGGCCTCCCGCGTGGCAGGCGAGAATTCTACCACTGAACCACCAATGCCAGATGTGCAGCCCTCTGCACAGCTGCCCCACACCTGCACGCCCCTGGTGCTGACCAGGGACAAGGCTGCCTTTCCTGCCAGCTATGCAGTCCTGCTGGCCCTTTGCTGCTGCCCAGGCGCAGAACCAGGGGACCCCGTGCACCCCCAGGGTGAGCAGCTCCAGCGCCTCTTGGACGTGGCGCGGCAAGTCGTGCCCTCCCCTCCCACCTCAGCCGCTGGAGCCGAGGCTGGGCCTCTCCTCCTGTGCACCGGGGTGTTTTAACAGGAGAAGAAACAAGGAAAGGAAAGGCCCTGTCTACGATAAAGATGACCTCTGGGTGCAGAATGGCCCTGTAGCATTGGGGCAGCAGGTCTGAGGGCAGTGGGGATGGTCACTGCTGTCTGGGAGCCCCCAGAGAGGGGGACACAGACAGACAGGTCTGATTCCAGGGGCTCAAGCCACGAAGGAGCCAGTTTCTGCTACCTGAGACATCACCATGATTAACGGGGTTGTCCTTCAGCTCCAGAGCTAACACTGCGTCAAGCCCAGGCTCCCCAAGATGGGCTGCAGGACCTGCCCCCAAGGTAAACACCACCACTTTGGGCTCACGCTGAAGCCCAAACAGTTGCAAGCCACCGCTCCCAGGGCTCCCAGGACCAAAACACGCTGCTGCCTCTGGGATGCAGCATCAGCACAGCTGCAGTGGGGCAGCCCAGCCAGGCGGAGGGGCACGGGTGAAGGGCAGAAAAGCAGGGCTGCATTGGCCGGGAATCGAACCCGGGCCTCCCGCGTGGCAGGCGAGAATTCTACCACTGAACCACCAATGCCAGATGTGCAGCCCTCTGCACAGCTGCCCCACGGCCCCTCTGCTCGGGTGCCCTAGATGCCAGCTGCTGCCCCAAGCATGGCAGGGACATGGCATTGGGGACCCCCCCACACACACACTCCTGGTCAAGCACAGCACCGCCACTAAACACCACACGCGTGCAGGGACCACGTATGCGTGTGGCACACACGTGCCTGTGCCATGTGTTGTGTTGACTCTGTGTGTCCTGTGCGTGTGTATGTAGTGTGTGTGTCTGAGCATGTCCCATCCTTGGGTGACATGCCCTGGGGGTGCGTTTCCTGCGCTTGGAGGTGGGTCTGCATGCCACAAGCACGTGCACATGTACTGTCCTTTGTGTCCCTATTCCACACACGGCTCTGTGTTGCATGTACCGAATGTGTCTGGGTGCCATGTGTGGTCCTGTGCATGCACCATGTGCGTGCATGTACCATGTGCGTGTCCATGTACCACCTCTGTGCACGTGTCTGCCTGTGCACCACACACATGCCTGTATTACATGCGCTGTGCATGGATGCACTGTGTCTGTGCACCATGCAGGCGCCTGTACTGTATGTACTGTACGTGCCTGTGCACCACACACGTGTCGGTGCTGCGTGTACCAAGCACTCGTGTGTGTGCACATGGGCCAAACACATCTGTGCATGAGCAACTGTTGTGTGTGTTCATGTACCACACATGCATCAGTGCAGGTACCATGCGTTTGCACACTACGTGTGCACACAGCACCCATGCGCCTCTCGGGTGTGCGAACGTGTGTCGGGGCAGGGGTGTCGGGCATGGGCCGGGGGCTCCCCACCTGTCGGTACTTGCTGTACTCCCTGCCCAGGGCGTCGAAGAGCTGGCACAGCTCCTGCGTGTACTTCCAGGACGGGTGCTTCTCCAGCAGCACCTCGCGGATCCTCAGCAGCGCCTGGGAGCTGACGTGGAACCAGAGGTACCGCAGCGCTGCCTCCGACACTGTCCCGTTGCGCTGCAGGCGAGAGGATGCCCCGCGTCAGAGCCGGGATGGGTCCCAGCAGGACGGGAGAGCCCCGACGCCTGCAGCCCCTCAGCGCCCTCCCCGGAGCGCCCCCTGCTTTGAGGACACGGTGGGGACATCCTGCTGCCCGACCCAGTGCAAGGGTAGTGCCTGCCCGATGCTGGTGAGGCCACCAGAGTCCAAACTAGCGGCTGGCTCCCTCGCCCGGGCTGGGACATGGCCGGGGGGGGGACCCCCCC